CCACAGCCATGTAGGGAGGTACATTCTTCTCACCGAACGCGCCAGAGCCCCTTCTGGGATCACGTTCGGCCAGCTGATTCCAGGTGACTCTGATGATGCGAAGAAAGAAATGCAGAAGTCATTCCGTTCGGGTACAAAGAAGACAAAAATTGCCACCGTAGAGGACAACAGTTTCCCCCGTCGACTCAAGTTGCTTCCCGTCAGAATCTACTGCAAAGAGGCACAGGCACTTCTAGATGCCGGGGTAATTCCCAACATGATGTCTAGTCGGCTCTCAGACGAACTCTCTCTGACCCCGTCTCCCACATCCCGACAAATCACTGTCGCCAACGGTGATACCTCACAATGTATCGGGACTGTCTCGGGAGTTCTTGTCTCGTTTACAGGCTTGATCGTCCCAATCGACTTTCTTGTTGCTTGTTGTGCTTAATATGCCTTTGGACCTCATCATGGGGTGCCCGACATTGGAAACTTTGGCTTCTCGTCTTGATCTTCGCATACAAATGATGAAGCTTTCGTTCCAGGACAGAACCGTACATCTTGGCTTGTAATATGACCTATCCAGTACCCATGTCGTGAAAGCAGGTACTGATAGTGAGGACTTCACTTCCGGTGTCGAAGGAGAGTTAAACGACACCGGGGAATCCGATGAATCCTCTTCGCTTTCTGATTCTGAAGAGTACCTCGTAGCCATTCTATCGAATACAATCGCTGGAAACAACGTTGAAGAAGACCCCTTTGGAGCCTCCGTAACACCAGTTGTCGAAGAGGATGAAACCGATGATGATATGCCGCCGCTCGCCTCCGATGACGATTTCAGCGAAATTGATGATGAGAAGACTGAGAGCGGTGATTTGGAGACTGAAGATGTTACAGTAGTCGCAGATATTATGCAAGAAGATTCTAATGGAGAACAGGACGCGTCAAGCGCATCAGATTCTACCTAGCATGACATCGGCGAACCACCGTTTGACTGTCCAAACTGGACATGCAACTCCGGCAACCAAGTATGTTCGGTGGGACCTCCACCAAAGTTGCATGATACCGTTGAAGACTTTTCAGACTACAGTACTTATTACATCGTAGAAACTTCTCTAGAACGCATTCAAGAACAAGCCCATCACGCCAACGCTTCCCACCAGATTTGTGACGCACCAGACTGCCGTATTTGTCATCCACTGCGTCGTTCCTTGAAACACACGGCGACGTTTCACAGTTGTACTTTCCATGATATGACAACGTCTATTGATTATTTGCCTCCGCCTGATACCATCTTCATCTCTCAAAGGGTGATGCAGCACATGTGCATTTGTCAAAGCCATTGTAAACTGAAAAACTTGTTGTAGTTCGACTCAGCCCACCTCCACTTGTTTGCCATCAGCACCCAAAGCGTGCATTGTCGACCGAAGAAGTTCTCGACAATAATTGGATCGGAGCAAATTTGCCTGTTGGTGTTCACCTCTGCACGAGCCGAATCCTCGCCTTTTGGCTTCTTGACAGGAATGGTTGCACGAACTTCCCTAGATGCTCCTTGGTAGCCCTTTTCCATGAGAACTGCCCAATATCTTGGAAACTGTTCAACCAAAGGGCCAACGTCTGTGACATTGCGCTCGTCCGGAGAATTTCGGAGTTCCGCTTTGTGCATCCCATGTTCTCATAAAATATATCCACGTCTAACACTGATCCCATGTAACGTCTGCTCGCCCCAATAGCTAGACCATTCGGCAGCAGGCTCACTTCTGTCTTGTAGCCGTACATTTTATGTTTTCCACTAAAATACCCTTTTGCCTCCTCATGATTATCCCGCGGGCGGTTGCTTTGTTGAAATGTTACGTCTGTTGCGTACCTAGCCATGCCATATACTCTGAATTGAGATTGATCTGCAAAGATGGGGGACATTTTGAACTTCGCCGCTGCTCGTTCGACATAAGTTGCGTAGGCGAAAGGTGTGACAATGCGTATGAAATTTGTGACCAATCTGTCAAACGATGTACTCTTCATATTAAACATTTTCGCTGCGAAATCCCCCATCGTGCTAGTTTTGCACACGCACAGTGCCATAAAGAGGACATCCTTTGTGTGATACCTTGATCTTTTACCGCGACCAACATTGTAGTTCTGGACGATAAAAGGGCGCAGTCGGTCATACACCCCCCGATACTCGGCGAGTGTGAAGTTTGTCACTTGCAAATCTGCAACATCACCTCCGTCGGTAACAAAAGAATCCAAAATGGGACAATCAGAATCTGTTTCCTCATCAGTCTCAATATCAGCTCCTTCATCGTCATATTGGTTGAGTTTGTTGCTGCGTTCTGCGGCCAGCTCTGCAAGAAGACGAAGAGCATCTCCGGGTGAGGTGTGTGCACTATGGCTCATGGTGTGGTGTCAAATCTTGAGACTGCCTGAAGACGAACTTTTCACTGTAGATGGCTTATATGGTGCAAGGGATTGGCCGGGTTCTGTGCTATGAATTTTGAAAATTGGCGGGGAGAGAAGTCTCTCATGCACATTGTTGCATACAGTCCAATTGGTAGTTCTTGATAGTGTCAGCAGTAAGTATCTATTTTGAGAATTTACAGCGCTGTCAACAGATTGCGGACGATATTATGTGTTCCTCAATCTTTAATAATATAATAACGTTGTCCGCCAAGTAAACACGTGTTTTTGATTGCAGAAACCAAAACTGGTTGGTTGCAAAGTAAATTATAAAACTGGAAATTCAACCACGAGTCTTCATAAGCCGTGTGCAGCAGGCCTTCTCGATGTCATAATCAGCCTGGAAGGCGCTTCAACCCATCCTCGTGTGAAATTTCTTACAGCCCAAACCAGTACAGTATGGCCGTTGACGACTCATCATCTTCTGACTCAGAAACGGACATCACCTCGAGCACACGGCCCGTTCTACAGAACCTGATTTCCATGTCAAAGCAACACCAGCAAGCTTCACAAGCCTCGAGCATGCACATCAACATATTTGACGACACAACAGGACATGTGGATAAGCAGGAATTCTCCCTGAACCTCTGGTCTCCTAAAATCGAGCGTCTACAAAGTCTTCTCGATGCTCATAGCAGTATCCCTAAGTCCACAACAGGATTCTATCCATCGGAATGGGAGCGATTGTGTCCAAATAGTGTCCCCACTTCGCTAAAAGTCGGGCGACTGAGTTGCCCAAATGCGAAACAGGGCGCCCTACTAAATTTGGTCGTTTTGTAGCAATGCGAGAGATGACTTCGATAGATCCAGTGTCAAGGATGGATAAAGTTGTGCCACACATTTCTTCGATTGCGTTAGAAACAAACAGGGAGCCCATACTTGGGTTTGACAGGGCTTTGCAGGGTGTGTGTGACGCTATGTGAAGGGCGCAGATGGTCAGACGAATGGTGGTGGTGTGGGGTTTGAGGCCGAAGCGCTACAGAGGCTGTCAAAATTCACGTAAAACCCACATGCAGCGAGTTTTGGAGGTCCTGTGAGTTTTGCAAAACACGTTGCTCGAAAATATTTCTGCCAGAAATTTTGATCAAACTGGTTGTAAAACACGTGTTTCCCGACTTGGCGGACAACATTAATGAAACTTGTCCTAGTAATTGCGTAATATTTGAGCAGATGCTAAGCGCCCCTAGGGACAGCAAGGGCAGAACGGAGAACATATAATCACTGCACAAATGCTCTATACCCGCGATTTCGGGTTGTTTTTTCATTTTTGCTTTTTGCTTGTTTATTCATGCAGAAACTAAGAAACTTCATGATTCTTCATGAAGAAACGACTTTAGACAATGGTAGCCACGACTTACACGTTACATCTCCATGATGGAGATGGGCTACAGGGACCCTAGGAAGGCATGGGGGATCTCGATTTGGATGGTTGATCGCGATTATCGGTGGGTCACATGAAGAAGGCCGAAGTGGTGATTTTTTCATTTTGCAGCATTATCTGGCAGTTTTTGCGCGCAATTGCGCGCAAAAACATGATTTAATGAAATCGCGGCTCTATACCTACTAGAAAGGTCTACTGTAGTGTACACCGTGAGATTTTCGAGGGGGCACTTTGGCAAACTGTCTCCCTCAGGGTGTGTCTTAACATGCCCCGTTTTGCTGCGGTTTGCTTTCCCCAAAGAAGTGATTTGGCGTGCTTTGAGCGGCTCCTACGTTTTAATTTATGCGTTTAAGAAAAGCAAGGGCTTAAGATGCGTAAGGTATTTGTTGAGAATTTGGAAGTATTCCTGGCAAAACCGGGCAAGATGTCAACGTGTGTTCGAGGGTGCGTTGGTTCGCTTTACTTTTTGTTCACCTTTTCTCCTTTTTGCCAGCTATCCCTTTCTTCCCAGGCCAGCGCGTGGAGCTTCCCCTTTTATCCTTGCCTCACGGGTGTCTGAAAGGCTCCAGAACACTTCCTAATTTTCAACGAACTAAATTACAATTCTAAAAATCAAATTATTTCTAATCAACCAAGTCCGGGCCACACAACGCCCTTCCCAGGCCGAGCCGCGGGCCCACCGACCACCACTATTTTGGCTTCCAGCCCGCTCACATCGGGGTGGCGCTTCTGTACTTAAGGGCGCACCGCCCCCTGCCGCACACCTTCGGCACCTCCTGTCTTCCAACGCCTCGTGTCGCTCCTGCACTCTTCTCAATCACTCTCAGCTCTACTTTCCGCCTGCATACCGCGTCTCTCAGCTCATCGCATCCCTCCCGCCTTCTCCGGATTCCTCGGCTCTATATCTCGCCCGCCTAGCGTGGTCATCGGATCCGTCCGGCGTTCTTGGCACTTCTCCTCGGCTGTAGTTCTCGCTCATACACCGTCGTCTACTAGGTCATCGTCTCCGTCCCGAGTTTTTGTCCAGTCCCGGTTATGCAGAGTCGAGCAGCGCACAGGTGGGGTTGTAGTCCCCGTGCGCTCTCCTCTTCCCTCGTGCGCAAAAGGCTCGGGTAGTGCACAGGTGGGGTTTTAGTCCCTGTGCGCTCTCGCCTTCCCTTCTCGCTTTCCTACGAAAGGGACGATGGCCGAGACGAAACAAACAGCGAGGAGGAGTACCGGCGGCAAGGCTCCAAGGAAACGGATTGCGCTGCACGCTGCACGCCAAACGTGTGTCGGTAGAGAAATGATGATGTTCGAACTCTCGTCGAGTCCGAACATTGAGAAGGGCATGCGGACCCCCGCTTCTCCAGTTGATAGTGCCAACTTGCACATCTGGTTAAGAGGGCGTAGCCGTCGCTATAGCGTCACGGCTCAGGAGTTTGTACAACTTCTCGGTCATCACATCAAGGACTACTTAGTCCGAAGGCCGAATGTTGAGGTTACCTGTGAAGATGCGTACTGGCTCGGCCTACCCGAGTCCGTCGGGGATGGTAATCGATATCGAACCTTCAGTGAAAACGAATGGGACATATAAGAGATTTCCCTGGACCAAGATGGAACTTACTACGGCGTTGATGCCGCTACCAAGCAGAGAAACTGCATCTTACTCTACACTCTCAAGATCATGGGCTCTAGAGAGAGCACTGATCACCGAGTAGAAGACGGCCTCTTTGAGTTCGGCAGTCGGGACCGCGTTCTTGCATACATGGCCGTCGACCTCTTTTGCTCCCGCCACCCTGGTCGGGTCTGCAAAATGCTGCACGGATGGAGACGTAGCTCCATCAGTCTCACGCCTCAACTCCGTTTGCCAACCTTAGGTGCGGTGAAGTTTCGTGACGACTCTGACCTGTGCATACCTTCTGCTATATGCAACGCCATCCATCTTCTCGGGAACCTAGAGCTCGCGTCCAAGTATTGGCGTCACTTCGAGGCTAATTTAACCCGCTTTGCACGCACTCGTGACCTGCCGCGTCGCATCTGCGACTTTCGCGATGCCCAAAAGCATCTCGACCGCGAAGAGGTCATCCCGCGTCACGTAAGATCTGGTCCAGCTACAATTGAGCTCGTCTTAGGCTTGCCCCGGGGTCTTCGTCGTGACAGTTGAAGGCACACCAAATATCCTCCGCAGTATTTCTGTCTCAAAGTCGCACAAGATAGTGACCGACTGCATAGAGAAATTCCCCCTACGTTTGAGTGTGGAATCAGTGAAAGCCTGCAATGGGGACCGTGGTGCCTTTCTTGGCATTTCTGATTTGCGCCAGGTTGTACTCGTGCCACAATCCGCTTGAAAGAGAAGAAATAGAGTCGGATTCTAGACAACGAGGAGGGCTGGGAAGAAAGCGGCCGCGGGTACCTCAAGTAACAGAGCCAAACACTAGCTCAACCCTCGTCCTCAATTTGCTTCTGGAGCTATACCCCCATACTCTTGTCATTTCATGCGTTACTCTACATGCAAACATAGTTTAGAACAATACAATGCGTACTACTAGTAAACTTTTCCTAGTGCAAATGAAGCGGCTTCCTTTTGTACAACATAAGCCTCCTGGCATGAATATCTTTCCTGGTATAGCGATTGTGCTGCGAAAAAAGCATGTAACTGAGTTGTCGTGCTTGGACAATTCGACCCGGGCCGTAGAAACGTGAGGTGAAGGGGGGTCACTTGGCGAGGGCACCTATAGAGCGCCCTATAGCGACTAACACCACATCACCCACTTTAAAATGCGTTATCTCGCCTTGTGTCAGTGCCAGCAGTTCTCTCTGCATCTTTAATCTGTTCGCGCGCAGCGCTTTCGTGTACATCAGTTCCATCTCCCTGTGCGACAAGTCTGCGGCGGGGAACAGCGGGGCCCGATCCGACGGGGCCATCCTGGGCAAGACCCCATACAGAAGCTGAAATGGAGAGCAGCCACCGTGTAATGCTCTGCAGCGATAACCGTACACCACTTTGATTGGGGCGCGCTCCCATTCCGAGCTTTGCAAACCAAGCCCAATAATAACTTTACGAACCGCCCTCTTGAGGGTCCCGATCATTCGTTCTGCCTTCCCGTTGGACATTGGAGCATATGCTAGGGCAGTCTTCCACGCGGTACCATGCTCCGACATAAACTTCCCAAGCGAAGCAGCCATAAAGCAAGTAGCGTTATTGTAGTGCAATACGCACCTGAAAAGGGGGGTGAAAAGAAAGGAAAATATTTGGATATGAAAAGTAGTCCGGGTTGGGGGACACACGTGTGAATAATTGCACAGTTTTAATTTTTAATTATTTTATTTTATTTAGTTAATTAGTTGGCATTAATTTTGCTGACACTAGATTAGATCTAGGATCTAGCGCCACAAGCTACTGTAGTGGCTCCGGCGGGGCGATATATACCTTAGCCCTCTGACCACCAAGTCAGTAAAGGTAACCCGAGTTGCCGGAGTTGAATGTCGCCTTGGTCGAAGTCCGTCTCTACCAAGACGCTCCCTTTTACCTAAGCCTACGGCATCCTTCAGCGCTCGGGGGTCCCATTCCTTTTCCTTATCCTTTTACCTTTTCTATCTCTAATTCCTACCCTTTTCTATCTCTACCTCTATTTTTCCCTTAATTGTGTTGGTTCCATTGGAGTCGGTTGCGACCGATCCGGTGTAGGTGTTTTAGCCATCGGGCAACACGTTGTGTAGTGCTGCTACTGTTTCAAGTTCCGTAGGAAGGCTGTTGTAACGACGCCTCCGTCGAAGGTCTTACTGTATAAGACAGAGTTGGTACCGCCTACCGCGATCGCGATCGCGCTGGTGAGGGTGTTTTTAGCCATCGGGCAACACGTCGGTAGTAGCGTTGCTACACGGTTACGATCCCGTCGGGTAGTGCTGAACAAGCCCCCGTCGAAGACCTTGAATTACACACAAGGTGCTGAAGACGCTCGTCGAGCATTGGCCTTACAACCAAGCGAACCGCGGTTACATTCTCGTAGACAAGCCCAACCCGAACTCGTCGAGCGCTCAAGTCTTCACAAGTCTCTACCACCAGTATCCTCCCGGGCCGGGTATCTTCCCTTAACCCCCCCGCCGGAGTCGAGCTACCGTGGGCCGCAAGCCCACACAAGGGGAAAGGGAGTCTCGAATGCCCCGTAGCGCGTGCCATCGGCAGTAGTTGTTGCTGTTGTTGTTTTTCTTCTTTTTGCGTGACCGTCGGACTGTGTTCGCGGCCTGCCAGGCACATTGCACTACAGTTATCTGATACGATGGTCCTTGGGGTCCAAAGAAATATATTATCTCTTCTTTCACAAATTCTACCACGTCCAGGGCGGTTGAGGTATCTGTAGGTCTGGCAATGGGCCAACTCGTCAGTTGTTCTACAGCGACCAACACGTACTTCTTTCCAGACTTTGAACTTGGCAACGGCCCCGCGAAATCAACCGAGAAGGTGTCAAACAGGGAAGTCATGGGGTATCGCAGAGTTGTCTTGTATTTCGGTACGGAAACGGCTTTCTGACATCCTTCGCATCCACGCACGTAGTCAGCGAGGTCCCGGTGCACAGCTGGCCACCGGTAGCGATACACGACGAACTTCTTGGTAGTGTCCGGATCCCAATGCCCCAACCCATCATGAAAGGTATTGATTACGCCTCTGCGCGCGCGGATTGGCGGGATGGCGCGTAAGCCTGTGTTAGTTCGACTGAATAACTGGGCGCCGTACACCACAAATCGCTTTGCGTTGTGACGCCTCAGGCGCTGCTGACGAGGATCCTGTTCTTTCATGCCACAACCAACTAGATACATGGTGATATCACTCAATTGTGGCTCTAGATTTACCTCCAACTGTTCTGGTTCTTGAATGGTACAAGCGAGATCTCCCTCATCACTAAAGTTCACTCCGGCGCTTATCGTGGAGCGTAGTCGGGACAGGAAGTCCGCCGTACCGTTATAGCGACCTGGCCGGAACCGTATCGTGAATTCATATTCGGCAAGAAAGTCCATCCAGCGCGCAAGGCGTCCATGAATGTCTCTCTTTTGGAAAGCGTATTGTAAAGCTTGGTGGTCTGTAATTAGTATCAACTTCTGAGTCGAAAGTAAGTATACTCGAAACTTTTTCAAAGCGAATATGACAGCTAGGGCTCTCGTTCACAAGCCGAGTAGTCTCCCTCAGCTGTCGTTCTCGTATGACTGGCGTACTGTACCGGGTGCACTTTTCCATCTTCCTTGCGCTGGGAAAGGACAGCCCCGACCGCAACTGAGGATGCGTCTGTCTCGACAACAAATGGTTTCTCGTAATGGAGAAACGAGAGTACCGGCGGAGAGATCAGCTTTGATTTCAGCTCCCCAAAAGCCTTCTACACCTCCTTCGTCCATCGAAAGCTCTTCTTGACGGATGTGGTTTCATGCGGCGATGCGGAAATCCTCGCGAAACCAGGAATAAAGCCGCGGTAGTAGCCGGCAAGACCAAGAAAGCTGCGCAACTCCGTACTATTGGTTGGAACCGGCTCCTCTCGTATGGCCCTGATCTTCTCAGGGTCTACCTTGATCCCTTCGGAACTCACGATGTGACCTAAAAGACGAGTTTGTGACTATGCGAAACTGCACTTGGCAATCTTTAGCTTCAGACCACTCTCAGCGATTACCCTAAATACTTCAATCAAGTGCGCGACGTGTTCTTTAACAGACTTCGAGAACACCACCACATCGTCAAGATACACACGCACGAATCGAAGATCTCGAACCAACTGGTCCATGATCCTTTGGAACGTCGATGGAGCGCTCATCAGCCCAAACGGCATCACTTCAAACTGAAAGGTGCCAAAACGACAGACAAAAGTTGTCTTCTCCTTGCAATGTTCAGCCACTCGAAGTGGCCAATATGAAGAAAACAAATCGAGGGTTGTAAACACCTTACTACCCTCTAAGTCGTCAAAGATTTCCTCCATTCGTGGCAAGGGCCACTTGTCTGCTTTCATCCTCCCGTTAAGAGTTCGGTAGTCCACACAGAACCACGGCTTACTGTCCTTCTTCGAGGCGATTACCACTGGAAATGACCATCCAGAAATTGAAGACGTGATGATTCCAGCCCTCCGCATCTTATCAATTTTTTCACGCACAACTTCATTGTGGCGAGGCGGCAGCCTACGTGCCATGTGTGTTATACGGTTCTGGTCCTCTAGCTCAAACAAATGAGTTAGTGGAACATCTGCCGGTCTTAGATCATCTAGTGACCAAGCCGCGATGACCAACTGCTGAATAACGCCCGCGAGTGTACTCCTGGTGTCGGCAGCCAAATGTCTGAGTTTATCCCTGAGTAGGACGTGGTGAGGGTGGTCCCCGTCCTCTTCGTCAGAAACCGACCCCTCTGGTCCTGCCATCCCAATATCAGGTTCAATAGGTGGAACGTCTACCACCGCCAGGACCAGTGCACTTTCACTCTCAGAAGACGAATTCGGAGCGGCATCCGTGTCTGAAGTAAAATCTTCGCCATCAGTTGCCGACCCATTCAGTGCACCCCGCTCCACGTCCATAGTAATCCCAAGTCTCATGGTCTTGTCACCTACAGTGATCTGCCCGTTT